GTGTGGAGCAATTTAAAAATGTAGGGAATACAAAATAACCATCAATCGCCCCCGGCCTGGAACTCCATGTAAGATTTCGCCTCATGGGGTAAGGATGATGAGAAAAGTGAGATGAGGTTATGAATGATCTCAAGGTAGTTGGACCACAGTCACCAAACAAACCATTGGTAACACAATACAGGGGATTAAGATCCTGCACAAGAAAGCAGATGTACAGGCCCGTCTGAAGTTTGCCAATGAACATCTAAATAAGGATTGGGAGAAAGTGCTGCAGTCAGATGAGACCAAAATTGAGCTCTCTGCCATTGCCAACTCGCCATGTTTTGGAGGAAGAAAAATGCTGACTATGACCCTAAGAGAACGCATACCTACAGTCACGCACTGAGGTGGAAACATTATGCTTTGGGGCCGTTACTCTGCTAAAGATACAGGCCAACTTTGCCGCATTGAGACGCCAATGGATGGGGTCATGCATTGTAAAATCTTGGATGAGAACATCCTTCCCTCAGCCAGAACACTGAAGCTGGATCGTGGATGGGTCTTTCAGCATGACCCAAAACATACAGCCAAGGTAACAAAGCAGTGGCTCAAGAAGAAGCACATTAAAGCTCATGGAGTGGCCTAGCCAGTATCCAGACCTTAACCCTATAAAAAATGTATGGAGGGAGCTGAAACTTCAGGTTGCCAAGCGATAGCCAAGAAACCTTAAGGATTTAGAGATCTGTAAAGAGTGGGCCAAAATCCCTCCTGAGATGTGTGCAAACCTGGTAACCAACTACAAGAAATGTCTTACCTCTGTGCTTGCCAACAAGGGATTCTCCACCAAGTACTAAGTTATGTTTTGCTTGGGGATCAAATACTTAATTTTTACTCACTGAACTGCAACTCAATTTATAAGATTTGAGTCATGTGTTTTTTCTGGATTGTTGGTTGGTATTCTGTCTCTTTCATAATACACCCATGATAAAATTAGACCCTTTTTTTGTAAGTGGGAACACTGCAATCTGCAGGGGATTAAAACTATATAACCTTAGCCTAAGTTTAAAAAAAAAAACCACACCAACTCCTTTAGTAAATGGGCCTCAGTTATTATTGCATACACAATGTCCATCTAGCTCTGTACACACACACAATGTCCATCTAGCTCTGTACGTACACACAATGTCCATCTAGCTCTGTTCGTACACACAATGTCCATCTAGCTCTTTACGTACACACAATGTCCATCTAGCTCTGTACGTACACACAATGTCCATCTAGCTCTGTACGTACACACACACACACACACACACACACAATGTCCATCTAGCTCTGTGCACGCACACACACACACACACACACACACAATGTCCATCTAGCTACACACACACACAAGGTCCATCTAGCTATGTACACACACACACACACCACACACACACCTCTCAACAGACTACAATGCAACAAAAAGATATTTTTATTGTATTTAATACAAGTGAAATTAATAGATCTTAACTGTTATAAAGCAACATATAATGAATAAATAATATGCATGGAGATTCTTGTCTACAGTTACATAACACTGGCTAGTATTTTGAATACTTAAAAAGAAATCCAGTGACATTTAGACAAATGTCCATAAAATGCGGTCTTCTTCCCTTGTATGAAATAGTTCAAGTATAAAAACCCATTACAGTGTAAAATATTCATGAAGTCAAGAATAAAAATTGCCAAGTATTGCAGTTTTACAAGTCACTGTATAAAGCAGCACTTTTCTAGTAAAGAAAAAAAAAATGATAGACAATATCCTACATACAAATGAAATGTATATTATACTGCTTAAAGAGGTCTTCATTGAATGAATGGGGAGAAAAAAAAAAATCTACTTGTCATGTAAAATCCTAAAGTGTTATGGTAGGTATATTATTACACAGTGCACATTCAGAATTTAAATAAATCCAAGTCAACTTTCAGTTGAATAGATTAATATTTACTACATCTAACTTACTTAAATAATTTATACCATGAGATGAATACATAAGGTCTTTAACGCATCTAAAGTTCCCTTCTTTAGTGCGCACCATAGTAAAACTATCAAAATAAATAAATACCTTTCTTTCAATAAACATTACAAGTAAGGCACAGTACAATCCTTTTATTTATTTAACCCTTAAAGAACTGCAACTGAAAGTCATACCCAACTAATATATATATATATTGTTCTTTTTTTTTTATTTATTAATTTTTTTTTAAATACTTTGAACAGAGGGAAAAAGAAAAAAAGATTTCACCTACAACTCAAACATGGGGAGCCTTTTCTTTCTAAAAAAAGCAGTTCTTAAAGGGTTAACCTCTGCAAGTATCTTCCTGTTGTCATTCACAAGCTATGAATAGGTGTAATAAATAGACTGTGGTAATAAGGGGCTGATCCTATTTCAGAATCAGAATAGCTGACACCAGCAGTTAGAGTTTCCCAAAAGCGAAACAGGATGGGGAGAGGGATTAGAATGTGACAAGCTCATCAAATACGCACAAGTGATGTGTTCTCTCCAGAACGGTCTGGTATTGATTGTCTGTACAGCTGTTGCACCCGTTCATTCCACATCACTTGTTCTATAGTTCCACTTATATAGAGGAAAGATGAGAAAATAGCTTTGGTGCCTATCCATTGTCATGTGACCAGTTGGCCATGTGCCTCCAACGCATCAATGCTTACTGCACGTTTCTCACCTACACAATTCAGTTGGTCAGTGTGAGAGTTACATGCATTTTGTGCTTTGAAAACTTTGCTTTGTACAGGCTACATATTGCTGATTGATATTTCCCTGGTTCAAACATTTGTAAAAGGAGGAAAAATATATATTTTTTTCTCAGATTAATAAAAGGCAGTTTTGTTTTTTCCTGATGTAAAAATATAATCTGTATAGTTTATAAATTCTGACATCTTTTTCAGGAAAACAAACCACAGGAGTTCCTTAATGCCTGAAACACACCTCCTAAAGTAAGCCGGATGCATACTACATACAGAAGCTGGAATACTGTTATTTTTCTCTCCAAAAGAAGTCACTTTCTCCTTAAAGCCATAGAGCCTAATCTGATATGGTCTCATCTATAGAAACTGGAAGGCCGAAAACAAAAAAGAAAAAATAGTCGTCGAGAACTTCAAAAGTCTAAGTGCTACTGCATTCGGTCAGCCTGCAGCTGTTGTGGCTGGTATTGGGCAAAGGCGGCAGCAGCTGCTGCAGCAGTTCCTGGAGCTGCAGCGGTAAGTGGCTGCTGAACTGCATAGCCATAGCCTGCGGTGGTCATGTATCCTGTAGCAGCTGGAGAAGCTGCGTAGGGGTATTGATCGTAGGCAGCAGCGGCGGCAGCGGCAGCAGCAGAATACTGGGCATAGGCAGCCCCCGTGTAGTCAATGTATGGACTCGTCGATGTGGCAGCCGTCTGTTGCACATGAGGAATTACTACTCCTGGTTGCATAAAGGCATGAGGGTATACGTAATGTGCAGGAATCCTGTGAGACCAAAGAGATAAAAAAACTCTTAGTAAAGCAAAATACAAAGTTAACTTTTTTTTTTGAGCCATGTGTTTATCAATTAACCCAAAAAAATCACATTTAGTTGTTATTATGTGCATAGGGTTGCCACAATAGAAAGTTTTACAATTACTATACAAGGAAACCGAAGAAAAAAATACTCAGTTTATGTCTTTCTACAAATGTACCTGGGATTTTCTTTTTTTTTGTTTTTAATTGCTGAGAATTTAGACGTTAAATAAATTAGACCTTCAACGCCTCTAGTTAGAAAGTTATTTTTATGCAATAGTGAAGTAAATCTGTCCATAAAGTGAAATGGTTTTAAGTGTTGTCAATATTTCTTGACATCTAGCGATTTATCGTGGCAACCCTACTAGAAGTACTCTGCAGACTCAGCACACATTAATCTCTGCAACCTTAGTCACCCTTAAAATAAAAGTAAAACCAAAAAAAAATATATGCAGGCGAAAAACAAAAAACGTAAAAGTGGTGGAAGACACAGCAGTCACACATTCAAAACGGTGCAGAAAACATTTACGATGCTGTAGTGTTGAAGCTTTTCAGATGCTATGCCACACTCCATAGCATAAGGTTTCAAGTATGTGTGCATCACACTGTTACAAAGATGTAAAGGTCAAATTAAATACCCGTCAACTAAACATCCAGTTCGATTCAGCTGGTCTACTTCTCATTCAGACAAATAAGTAATAGGAGTATTTGTGAGGGTAACTATAGAAACCTAGGGTTAGACAAAAACACCTATGTAGTTTAATGCATAGAACATAAATATAGATATATAATTACTGGCTTTAAAAACAGATGCACTCTTTGCCAAGCATCAAAAAACCCATTGCACTGGGAGCCATTGTGGGATATCTAGTCTGGATGACCCAAATTTGGGGTTTCTCTGTTCTCAAAACAGTCACTGAACATCAAAGCAGAAATAATTCATTTGAGATACATATGAATATACAGGCTTATGATTAATGACAAAAGCAGTTTGTTGACAGGTTTCCTTTTACCCCTCTACATATCTAGATGATTAGAATGCTAGGTTACATCGGGGTTGGAGAAGTCTAAAAGGTAACCAATGCACACAAAAAATGATTACTGCTCGTGCCTCTCCTGAAGTATTAAATGGATTTACATTTTCTTTGCCACCTTAAAAAAAGGCATATTGCCTTCATATCAGCATGAGTTTGTCCATCTGGGGCCAAGTGAAATTTAATATAGAGAAAAAAAAAAAAAACAGCTCTCGTTTCACAGCCACCAAAAAATGGGCAGGATCATATTTTTATACTTTGAAAAATACACTAGGGGCGTCGATTAATAAAATGTATGCCGAGTCATACGCTGGGCAAAGGCCATCAGCACGGTATTACCCAGCATTAGACAAAGATTAGGAACACAGGATATTCTCATGCTCCTCGGCTCCATCTAGCAGCAGGAATGCCACTCGAACGGCCTCCGCTCAGTGTATGGCGTGGAGCGGAAGTTTCAGAAATCAACCCCCAAAGCTGGCCATACATCTATCGATCTGCAGATTTTCTATGGTCAAATGGAAAAAGTGCAACAGATTCCTTCATCTACGTTTAACTGTGTGGATGGAGTAATCTCCCACTGGACCAAGCTTCAGTGTCTTGCTAGTCGGCCCCGCTGGCTGTCAAAATACCTGAACAATCTGATTGGATGCAGGCATTGTTGAGGTATTTTGACTGCCAGCGGGGCCGACTAGCAAGGGGGCCGACTAGCAAGACACTGAAGCTAGGCCCAGTGGGAGATTCCTCCATTCACACAGTTTAGCATAAATGGAGGAATATGTTGCACTTTCTCCCATCTGACCATAGAAAATCTGCAGATAAATCTATGTGTATGGTTAGTTTGAGAAAAATATTTCCTACTGCTGTAAACTGAAATTGTCTGGCTTCTTAAAGATGTTTCCCCTTGTCCTAAAATGTCAAAAGTGCCTTAAATCTTCCGGCCACCTGAGGGTCCAATAAGAGTTGCAGTGCTGAGCCAGGCAGTGCTTGATTTTCTCTGCACAAGAGTTCAATTACTTTGGATTTTGTATGTTTGGTGTCCATAAACTACCACCATATATATGAAGGTGCACGTCAGTAAACGCAGTCCTCATATTTGTATCCTCACTGGCTCCCATTGCAGGCACACCTTTCCACAAAGGCACTTCCATCTCCCCAAGGTATGTGGGGTGAATCAGGTTTTTGTTTGCATACTCCTTCCCGATTTAGACCAAGTAATAGTCACTATACAGTTATCAGGCCACCACAGCACACAGTAGCAGACACTTCTTGTTCATTAAATTAAAACCTCCACTATGAACAAAAACCATTTACATTGAGGATGACTGGCAATTATTCCTATGAGAGAGAGCTTTGTTACCTTTGCAATGGCTGCCAACAAAAGAAGGGTGCAGGTTTAGGTCTAGATTGTACAGCGAGGGTCACAATCAGGTAAACGCCCATTCGGTAGTGTATCCTAGACCATAAACCGTACTTTACTGAGCCTCACTGCATGCAATCCATAGTAAGGACCCAAACCACCCACACTGGAAAAGAGTGGGTTAGTTCAACAGGTCCAAATCAGTTAAATTCTCTTTGGATGCCAATAACTAAAGCTTTAAAAAAAAAAAAAAGAAGTTGTTTGATCATTGTGCATCCTGCTCATAACGGAGTGAAAAAATGATCTGCACTATAAAGCAATAATGTGTCCATAATACACATGTATTCCAGCCAAAAATTCAAGTAGTCTTACAGACTATCATCACAAAGCCATTTATAGCCAAGTATAAAGCTACATAATTCTATGTAGCTTTAATTGCAGATCTACATACAAATGCATAATGGTTTAATACTGGGGGAAATCTATTGATTTCTCTTTAGAAATAAAGAGCAAAAACAGGAGGTGCCCAGTACAAGTCACTGGTAACCACAGTGATCTGAATAGTTATACTCACACAGTTAAGACACTTAAAAACAGCCAGGTAGGCAGTTTAAAATACTACATTTTAAAGGATGTACAGTGTGTGGGGCTTCTAATGAATACTACAGGTGAGGTCGGCTGTCACTAGAATTACTATAGCGATGTTGTATAGTCAAGGATGTGCAGTCATCAGCAAACCCTATGTAGCCATTTTCTGAAGCATATTATTCATGTTGTAATCTTCCCAGGATTTAAGTATTAGAAATCAAAAGTATGGACGGAGTTTACAGTTGGCTGAAAACCATAAAGCAAAGGACTATATATTAGGCAAATAGCAACGCACAAAGTGCAGTTAGCTGTAGGTCAGCGGCCACTAATATGACATCTGAAAATGAGCAGATATAGGTTGCTGCACTAGCTTATTGAATATACCCGAGTGAGCTTTCTGCAGCCTTATTGCCGAGAGAACAAACTCCCTATCGATTGTAGGAATTACAAAATTAACTTAGGGAGACAAGCTGGAAGGCTACATATATTGCTATAAATTACTTGTTTAACATGCGTCAACATGCTGCAACCACTTTGTATTAAAAACCATTGTTCCCTTTCCAGAATTCTAAACGATATACTTTGTGATCCTTTAAATACACTTCCCCTAACTCCTGCTCCACTCTGTGATTGACAGGGTAGGCTGCATTGGAGCTATTTTTGAACTGCCATATGAGAAGGGGCTAGGAGTGTACAATGTCTTTATATGGCCAAAGAAACATTGAGTGGTCATGAAAGCCAAGCATAACCTAGATAAAAGATCACGGTTCAAAACAAAATACTTGTTTGTCACCCATCTTCACCATAGTGACAGAGTTAAGAGCAGGATATTACAAATCAAACCAGAGTTCATCTGGCTTGGAGCATTTCTCCTGCCTGGTGAACATACAGTAGGTTATTGAACAAAGCCAATTTATATGTGCACTATGAGGAAGTTAGTAAGGGGACTTCAAAAAGATTTCTCAGCCAAACTATCAATACAGAAACTGCCAATAAAATAGTGCATGCAATACTGCAAATGATTAGGTATAATAAAAACAATCTGGCGAAAAGAAAAAGAATCCTGGAACTGTCAAAATAAAAAAAAATAAAAAAAAAGGCACAATTTTAAAGCGACTGTGCCATATGGTTGCAGGTTTTAAGACTTATGCTGCCAATTAAAAAATTCATGAGAAAAAATTAAATTAAATCATAGTATAAATTCCAATAGATAATAAAAATGCAGCGCTATAGGTCTAAATGGCAACTATTTTGATGGGTCTAATCTAATGGATGATCCGCGGCCACTAATTGTGCATATATAAATTCCAATACATTAGTTCCTTGAAAGATGTGGAGATATGCAAAAAATGTTCATACACCATCACAGAAAATACTGACTAACATAACAAAAAAAAAAAAAAAAAAAAAAAAAAGTGACAAGCTGCAACTTTGAAGCAGGAGCCAAAAAGGGCCCTTGGCTACCCATAGCAAAGTCAACACTCCTCAACAAATAAACACAAGTCAAGGCTCCCTCCCAACCCCAAACACAATATCCACTAGGGCTGGAATAAAATAAAATAAAGGACACACAGTTTAGCTGTGAAAACCACTTCATTGCCGTCATTAAAAAAAAAAAGGCACACAAAACTAGGAGCTAGAAATATACACTTTAAAATAAAACCAACCAACCAACATACATGCATCTTTAATCACCATTTAGCTTGTTTTCTGAGTCTACTGGTAACACAGATTAATTCCAAAAAGAACTATTCCATTTCTTATCATCAAATTCTTGTCATCAGTTATCTTAACTGTAAACGACCCCTGTCAGATTAGAAAGAGATAGATAACATTGAGTGACACTGGAAATGATTGGAGTGCACAGGGCCCAACAGGTGTCCATATTTAAGAAGAGAACCCATATGATTTCTAAAAATAAAAAATAAAAATAGGTGGGAACTGTGATGGGTTTACCCATACAGATGACATTATTTACTGACAAAAATGACAAGTAAATTGTGAAAGTTAGTAGTAGGATGTTTTTTGGAAAACGTAAAAAGGTACGTGGCAGCACACATTCTGGCACTGGCATTTACGGACGAGAGGGGCTTCACATCCAGTATAACACCTACAAAGCCAGATGCATAGTTTATATTACAAAGGCAGATATCATAGGCAGTGTCGTCATTTTGTGTACTTTGTCCATGCGTAATGAGTGTTTGGTGGCAAGAAAAACCCGCAGCCAACAACTTACCCAAAAGGCCTCTGTATAAGTGCTGGGTGAATCTGCTGAACCCCAAATGCAAAACCTAGAAGAAAATAAATAAATAAATACCCGAGTATAGCTGCTGTATGTACAATACATCTAGCACGAATTACCAGCAACATTCAAAAACTAATTTCTGAAAATTAAAAATAGCTCCCCCCCACAAACACAGATTTTAGAATCCCCTTTTAGCTCATGAACGCTTCCCTGACTAATCAATTAACTTATATCCAAGGAGGTAAAGCCTTCTTACACTACATAGTAATAAGTAGAATCAAATTACATAATAATCAGATCGTAAGGGTAGCCAGCTTTAGAGTGTACAGAAAATCCTCTTACCTGGCTGCATTATGCGGGGCTTGGCTCCCAGGTATGCAAGATTCACATTAGCTTTCCTCCCATCAATTATTGGATTGGGATCTTTACATGCCCTTTCTGCAGCAGCTCGGTCAGACATTGTAACCTAGAACAAAGATCTGCATTACAACAAGTCAAGAAAAAAAACTGTGTAAATGTTTATATTTCACTGCTCATCTGTGTATAAATATGTCCTTTTCAGAAATATACAAAGCCTGACAAAAGGTTAGTCTTGCAACCTTCCATCATCTTTAATAGGTTAGCTTATAGAGTATCACTGTAACCCAGGGCTGGGCAAATCCTAGAAAAGGTAGCCAATGCCCCTAAAAATTACCACTGGCACCCAACATTGAGGTTTTCTCTAGTTGTTGTCTGACCCCTGGATTGGACAGACGGGCTCCTGCATTCCATATTAGATTTGTCCACACGTTTTAAATGTCACACTTTCAAACACAAACAAAAAAAAAAAACAAAAAAAAAAAAACCACATCTTTCTACCACAAACATTTAAAACACTAGATTGTCCCACATTCATATAAAGATAGTAATTAGCATTTCCAGGAATGTGGCAGAATAAACTGCTTATGTTATCCTAAGCCTTATGGAGCATGATTGCTCATTATGGATGAAAGTCAAAGAATGACTGCCAAAAAGAAGTCCTACAAGGAAAAGGTCCTTTCAAGTACCCTTGCAGTTTCACTTTTAACATGTGAAAAGCGTCTGCTATCTGAAGGCTTTTTATCAAGAGGCAGCAGAAATATGACAGCCATATGACTTGTATAAACAGCATGAGCTTGCATGTTCACAAGAGGCACAGAGTGGAATCGTGAAGATCGAGCTGATTGCTCCATGAAGCAGTATCCCAGTACCAGGAGACAGACATCACAGATGTCCTAGCAGCACAAGTGAACAGAACGGATAGTTTGCAGAATTACTGGACTATGCATGTTGTGCAAATAACTCCAACAGGTAACCCTGGGACACCAAAGCTGGTTCACTGGCTGCCACATTTACACTAATGGTATCTCAGGACAAAGGAACACCATGCTTTAGATATCCAGTGTACAGTCTTTCTAAAACTGTACTGTCAGTGTTGTAACAGAACCAGTGTATAGCAAGACAACAGTGATTAGAGCAGAATCCTCACAGCAGCCCCGTGCAATGCTGGAGGGCATAGGTTGGATTTAAGGAGGGTTTTCTACAGGTGCTTCCCTGCTATTGTTGGCTGCATTGACTGAGATGTAGGTGAAGTGGGTGGGGACTTTAATTCTGGGCTGCTTTCCATAGCCACAATTAGTTTGTTTGACCTGGGGCTGTTCACAAGGCTCTTCCACCTGCTGTAACCGCTTTGCAGCCCTACCTGATTTGACATAAAGGATCTGAAAGCCATCACATGATCAGACTGTGTGCAGGTACAAGGCTGGTGTCCATGCCACTACAGGAACAACAGTAGCTGATAATAGGGAAACTGGAATATTTAAGCCTTGCTACACAAAACCAGACTTCTCACACACATGGAGAACACCAGAGAGGGCAGTCAGACTCAGAGTCCTAGCAGTTACTGAAGTTCTTCTAAACTGATTATAGACTTCAGAAGCCAGGAACTGGGTTTACTGCTGAACAGCAACAACTGTACAGTAGGGAATGACTTGCTGAGTAAGGCTCAGGTGCACACCGCTAGTCTTGGTAGTACCATCATGCTACTAATATCATCAGTGATTAATGGTCAACAATCACAATATGAAGCACTGTTGACCATTCAAAAAATTAGGTGCTACCCTACATTGCTAACTGTATGCAGTGAACAATCGCAGGCGATTTCAATAGTAGAATTGCACTACCTGTGTGGACCCAGCCAAAGAGAACAAACTCTACAGGATATCGAGAAAGAACTGGAATTACACACTGGGAAACCCTAAAATCTTCAGGTCTACAGGAAACCTTACTAAAACCAATTCATTTAGTGTCAATTGTGAAAATGCCCCCTTACTTTGGTGGTTAGTAGGAAGAATGCAAATCTTACATTGGTGGTCAAAATGCCCCCTTACCAGTGCTGGTCATATTATCACCCTTAAAGTGGTGGTTGGTAGGAAAGATTTAACTCTTACAATGGTCACCCATAATTTGGTGGTCAGCATGAAACCCTTGCAGTGGTGGTCAGTAGGAAGAATGCAACACACCTGACAGCAAAAACAGTAACAGGGTTATACTGGTGGTTCAGCCATGTAGTGTTGCCCCTGGAACCATCAGAGGAAAGGTCCACCAGCCACATGAACCTCTGGAGGAAGTTTTCCACAGAACCCTGATTGAGAATGGCTGGGCTATACTGCCAGAGGACCACATGCCACTATACCCCCTCCCATTACATACATGCTTTGCTGTATACAAGGACTGCTCCTCGATAAACATGAAGCTAGCATAGATTACAGGTAGAATGTTAGTTTACAACTGATGGGATGTGGACGGCAGGGACATACTGAAAGTTAGAAGAGCCGGAACAGTCCTCAGCCCAATACTAGACTCGAGCCGACTCAGACGGCACTGTGATCAGCTACTTGTAGGTAGAGTCCACGTGAACTTACAAAGCCATAGCCTCTGGACTTGCCGGTCTGCCGGTCAGTGATCACCACTGCCTCCTCTATGTCTCCGAACACCTCGAAGTACTTCCTGAGGCTGGAGTCGGTGGTGTGGTAGGGCAGCCCCCCTACGAAGATCTTGGTGTAGGTGGTGTCCTTCTGGGTGGTGTGCATCTTCTGGGGTCTCGCCTCCTTCTAGCCGTGCCTTGCTCTGCACACACCTCCCTTCTCAGGGGACGCTCAAACTCATGCAAAGCAGCCAACGAATGCAGCGGCAATTCCCTCGGTACTCGCAGCGCTCTATGAGGTAGTTGCCGGGGCTTGATGGAGGGCTCAGCAGGGTGTCCCGCACGCCTTGCTGCTGTGAGCCTATGACACCGAACTAACACGGCCAGCCCCGCTCTTAAACACTGACTGTCCGTCTCCTTGTTCCCTTTGCATTATGAGCGACCGGCCGGGCTGGAGGCTCCTCCCCTGGAAGGGGCGGGGAATGGCTGCCCCGCGGCCGCCCATTGGCTGCCCTTGCACCTGCTGCATATTTCCCCGGGCGGGCAGCTGCTCGTAACAGCTGGATATGTGCGAGGCTGGCCCCCCTTTGTCTCCGGGGAGGAGGGGGGGTTGGATCTGGTTACCCGCAGCGCGTGTGCTGGCTTCGTAGGGCTGCTGCCGCTCACCTCCCTGGGAGGCTTCCATTCAAATCACATGCTGATTACCAGACAATTACAGCACGAGGGCACCGAGACGGGGGAGGTGTGCTATTCCTGGGGGGGCCAGCAAGCGGGCCGCCAGAGGGAACTGTTCCAATAAGAAGAGAGTTCATATTTCCTGAGCCGAAGGCAACGTTATTTAGCGTTGCCGATAAATTTGTTGAAGAAATGAAAACTGCAATGTAATATTTTGCAGCTTGCCAGGTCTTAACGGCTCGCTCACACCATTGGGCTATATGCACACTATCCAGTGAGAAAGATAGATATTCTGTCACCGGGGCCAAAGGTTCAGAGTTGCCCCCCACCCCTAAGGGAGAAGTTCTCCATCCACACACCCAGTGGTGCCCCTCCTAAAGTGGCACCCGGGGCACATGCTCCCCCCTGCTTTGGCTGTATGTGCTGGTGCCTTGCTATTCATTTGAATGACAACCTAACACACCTCGCAGTGTGCGTGCTGTGCAGTGCAATGTGCGGTACCACAATACTGTGCGGTGAATAAAGTAATGCATGGACCACTCTTTTTCACTGCAACACATGCCAGGCGGTGCTTTGGGATGCCATTGAAATGAATGGCACTCAGCATGCAGTTCTATGTGATAGTGTTATCTAAATGTACGGCTTACGTGTGTCTATTGCAACACTAGAGTGTGAATGTGCCCCGGGTACAGTTCACTGATGGGATTTCCCAGCAATGCATTGTGATGTAACCTTCCCATGATGCATCTCTTAGGCACTTTACATGTCTAAGAGGAAGTGCAAAAACAATAATTGTAAAGCTGGCCATACACCTATAGATTGTATGATTTTCTATGGTCAGATGGAAAACGTGCAACAGATTCCTCCATCTACACTAAACTGTGTGCATGGGGCAATCTCCCACTGGGCCAAGCTTCAGTATCTTGCTAGTCGGTCCCGCTGGCTCTCACAATACCTGAACAATCTGATTGGATGCAGGCATTGTTTAGGTATTTTGAGAGCCAGTGGGGCTGACTAGCAAGATATTGAAGCTTGGCCCAGTGGGAGATTCCTCCATCCACAGTTTAGTGTAGATGAAGGAATCTGTTGCACTTTTTCCATCTGATCATAGAAAACCTGCAGATAATTTATAGGTGTATGGCCAGCTTTAGTAAAAGGAAAATATGTTTTTTCAACTAATGAACGTAAGATAATTTATATCAGTATGCAGAGCTGAATGCTGATGTGATTTTTAGTGAAAGAGAGTAAAGGTCTGCTTTAATGTACAATAACATATTACATTAATGCATGTGGGTTAACACAACACTTAGGGGTGTGTTTATAAACAATTTGCAGAGCTATTTGTCCTGTGAAATGGAATGTACATTCAGTCTGTGCAAATGGAGGCAAAAACAAACATTTTTAGTATATTTTCTTTCCAGGTCGAATATAATATCAGGAAAATGCTAAATTATGACCACTTGATGGAGCTGAGGAGCATAGGAAATAAGTCTTATATAGCAGCTGGAAGTATGATTACATGTGTAAAGCCACCTAATGGGTTTACACAGGAAAACCACCCAATCACTTCCATAGGCTGACAAACATGTAGCCCTGACGCTCCCCACCGTGTTTCTTGGGCTCCGTTTTGCCTCCTGGTGGCCCAGGACTGTCTTTGCTGGTGTCAGCAGAGAGAGGGGAGAGACCAGCAAACATATCGTCTCCGCGCTGAATAAAGCCAGAAGCGACGATGATTTAACTTCCGGTTCTGAGCTATCGTTCCCTGGCAAGCAAGACTGGGGAAGAAGCTGAGCAAGCTTGATCTGAGCTTGACCAGCTTCAATGGGCTGCAATGGTGACACTAGGGGTCTAATAATAGATCTCCTTAAAGAGAACCTGTCACCAGTTAAGTGCTATTACATAAGGGGCTTAATGGGGGGGAGGGGTGGGGGGTCAGCAAATGGCCCACCAGAGGGAACTTTTTCAATTGTTGACCCTGATAAGAAGAGGATTCATATTCCTCGAGGTGACTAGAACATCATGTAGCATTGCTGGAAAATTGTTTGAAGAAATGGAAACTGCAGTTTAAGTGTATCTAGACCCCAAGCAAAAAATGTAATATATTGCCGCGTGCGGCATGTGTTAGAGCCTTGCTATTCATTTGAATGGCAACCTAATGCACCTCTCAGTGTGTGTGCGTTTTAGTG